CATATTAAAGGAAAACTGTGATGAGTAAACCTTTCATTTCCTTATCCTTCAGTGAGTTGTCTTCATAACCAATCACTTCAACAACTGAAAGACACACATATGCAGACCTCCATTGTGTGGATCTGGCTTACATCCCCTTGTTCAGCATTGAGGCACCAGCGATTCATGCCAGGAGATGGTGGGTCAGCAGGCTGTAGGCCAGGAGATGGACGGAGGGTCCGGAGACTGAGGGCCAGGAGTTGAGAACGGGGCTGATGGGCAGAACTTGGCTGTGGTGGTGTGCACACCTTGTAGCCTAAGGAGGTGTCGTCCCGCCTGCTCCATGGGCTCCTCAGCTGCAGTTTTCACTTCAACATGGAATGAGCTGGATCAGCAGTTGGTTTGCTGGCTGCAGGCTCCTTTGGGGAGAGTTTGCCTCTCAGAATCCGGGCGTGCAGCCTCAGAACCTGAGACCCTCTTTGTCTCTCATCACTCCAGGGGACAGGAGTCTAAGTACCCAGGGCCTGAGGCATCTGCCCTGGCTGTCATTAAGCTAGAGGTCCAGTGCAGCTTTCTTCCCTGTGGTACAGCAGGAGTTGTGAAATGAGTGGGACTACCTGAGTAGGACAGAAGCCCGATTTCAAATGTCACAGCCCTGACTGCACCAGGAATTTACTTAGGCCAGCGTTCAATCAGTCGAGTTCCACAATCATCCCTGAATGCTCAGGGCCATGCTGCTTGCTGTGAGGAATGGGAAAGGACGAGACACAGTCCCTGCCCTTGAAGAAGCTGTTTCTCTGGGAAATGGGACGGACCCAGGGGAACATCTAGGAAACAGCCCAAAGCAGCCAGTCATTCCTGCTAAATGAGTTGACCAGAACACAGCTTCGGTGGGCACCCAGGGAAGTGACCGACAGATGCATTGGAGTGGTCCTAACACCTTCGAATACCAGACAGCTACCTGTGGCTAAGTGACTAATCCCCACACAAAGGCTCCTTCTAGGCAAGAAGTTGGTCACATTTCCCTGGCACAGATTCTGCTGCATGATGTACTTTTCATTAATCAGAATTATAGCAACAGGAGAGTAAAACAGAGACCAATTCCACAACATAAAGAGGTCTGAAGAATAAGCCTTTTGGCTGTGAAGTGCTCTGACAGTCAGAAGTCACCAGAGAGCACTGCAGCGCACCCTCGAGAGTGTCCTGCACCATAGCCGAGGCTCACCTTCCTGTCACAAGGCTCACACTCTGACGAGTCCTGGTACCTGGACACCTGACAACATGGTCAAAATCAGCTCAAGAACCGGTGACTTGCCTTCTGCTGCAGGTGGCTTTTCCAACTCTCCTCAAAAAGGGCCCCCAACAGCCTGGTTCCTCCAGAGACCAGCAGCACATTCACAAACGAGTGGCTTCCTCTTGGTGGTCTGGGACACACACCTGCCCCCAGAAAGCTGCACTCAGCCAGGGAGCGCAAGTGGAAGAGGGAAGAATGTTGATTCTCGTCAACACGCAGGTGGCGTGGGATGCTTGGTACCTCATCATGAGTGTATAGCTCTGGGCTCGCGATGAGTCATGATGCTTGTGCATTCACAGACATGCCTCGTGGCTGAGCAACTGAAAGCAGATAGCTCCCTGGAGTGGTCTTGTTTTCGCAGACCCCTTTTCCAATTTCACACCCTTAGATACACAATGAGGAGGGTGTTACATATCTCTTCTTTTCATGGGCTGGTTCTTGTCGCTTGAAAAGCTAACAGATAACTCAGGTTCTGCACAACCATGCTCTCTAAGGGATGATTTTACTGCCACACTTGGGAACTGAGAATTCCTGATAAGAAATTTGGCATTTAATACACTTTATGGCAATGCTCAGATCATTACCATGTACTGACGCGATAACGTTTTCAAATAAAATTTTATTATTGATAGTCATTACATTAATACCTTACTGTATGCCTTATGCTTTTGCATAATTAGCCACCATAAACGATCCTCTGAAGGTAGGCATTATTTCCCCCATTTTGTACAGGAGCAAGCAGGGCTAGGGGGTGAGTCACTTGCTGCAGCTCACGTGCCGTGCCTTGTGAGGTGCAGAGCTGAATGTGAACCCCAGCCTTCGACTCTTCACCAGGGCAAGCATTATTAAGTGTTTTATGCAAATATGATTTCAAATTCTTGGGAGAATAGTAAAAATACCAAAGACGTGTCAGTTTTTCATTGATAGGATTTATAAAATCCTCTCACATTTATTCTCTAATATACTTTCTCTTTGTCAAGGGTTCTCTTTTCGGTTTTTTTAAATGAACGATTTCTCTTCTGCTCTGTATGAACAAGTAGATTTCAACTGTTCTGCATAAAATCAAAAAAATAGCATATGTTGATATTTTATGTTATTAGCATTTAAAAAAAATTCTGTCCCCTCCACAAACTATTTATATAAATAATTGTATTTATGGGATGGCTGAAAAGACCTGGTCCTCAGCTTGGTCTACTCCCATTTGCCATGTAGCGCTGTGTGACCTTGGAGAGAAGCAAGCCTCTAATCTTAGTTTAGCATCACATCAGAAAGTTGTTGGGAGGCCCGGCCTGGTGGTGCAGCGGTTAAGTTCGCACGTTCCACTTCAGCAGCCCAGGGTTCACTGGTTCGGATCCTGGGTGCAGACCTACTCACTGCTCATCGAGCCATGCTAAGGCAGCGTCCCACATAGAAGAACTAGAAAGATCTACAATTAGGATATACACCTATGTACTGTGGGCTTTGGGGAGAAAAAAGAAAAAAAAAGAGGAAGATTGGCAACAGATGTTAACTCAGGGCCAATCTTCCTCAAAAAAAAAGAAAGTTATTGGGAATATTATTGAGATACTAAAAAGTAAAGCACTTTGTAAATGTTAAAGTCCTATACAAATGTAAGAAATCGTTCAATTATTGCCTAGAGCTAAGAGCTAAAGAAAGAATAGTTGCCTGCCTGAAGCCAAGGATTGACTGGACTCGTCTAAATACTGGATTGAAAGAAAAAGGAGGAGGACCTGGCCATATAAGAGGGAGGGGATATGGGTGGGGTTGAAGGAGTGCACAGGTAGCTGAGGAAGAGTGATGACCATGAGCATACCTTTGCAAATCTCCAGAACCGTGCACAGAGCTGTCCTGTGGTTTGGCAAACGATTGTAGCCAAGGAATGCTAATGATCCCAGAGGCTTCCTTTAGGAATGCTACATAGACATAGGAGGGATGCTTATTAACTTGCTGATGACACAAAAATGGGCAGTATAGTTAATAATAGATGAGAGAATCATGATTCAAGATTATTTTTGATATTGGAATGTTGGGAATTTGAGACATTTTCATGTAAGAATGATAGGACTTGTGAAAAGGAGTTGAGGGTGCATGCAAGATCACTGAGAAGCAGAAATAGCTAACAGTTAAGAGCAGAGACGCTGGGCAGGCCACCTAGGCTCAAACTCCAACTCGGCCACCTATTAGCTGTGTGACCATGGGCTGGTTACCAGCCCTGCTGTGCCTAGGCTTCCCCACCACTTCCTAGGGTCGTTGTAGGAATTAAATGAGTTAGTATCTGGTCAACTGCTTTGACCAGTGCTTGACTCTGCGCAGCAGGTCAGCCCTGCTCTTGGCTCCCTGCTGTTCTGGAGTCTCAGTGGGGGCCAGGGCCGCTGCCCTCTCCCACAGCACTCACACAGTGAGGAGGGTTTTTGCTTTTCAGAAATGCTGCATCTGACACATCTGACATCATGCTGGTGGGCATTTCAGAACTGACTGGAAATGTCAGGCTGGAATGGAGAGAGAAGTCAGGCTGGAAATGTGTATTTCATCAGAGTCATCCATGCAAGGCAACCAGCGAAGCTACCACAAAGAGAGAAGGACCCCGGAAAGGCTGAGCAAAATCTCCACAGAAAGTCTGGAGAGGTGGAGGGCACAGAGGAGGAGTAGCTCCAGTCAGGACGAGACAGTAGGAAGGTGAGTGAGCCAAGAACAGGGGATCCGAGATATTAAGACCAGAGCCAGAACACCACCTCACGGGAGGGTTTGAAGGCGATGGGAACAAGGGAGAGCGACGACTGCGAAAACGCCAGAAGGTGTAAGGACTCGGTCCCAGGAAGTCTGACGGTTCAGACTGGGCGGGAGCGGACGCCCCGATGTAGGGATCCGAACACACAGCGCGGTGACTTTCGGGCGGCACTGGACAGGCCAGCGGGCTCTGCAGGGCCTGGCCTCACCCTGCGGCCGTCAAGCCTTGCCTGGCCGGTGGAGACGCAGTCCGGGGTCGGGGTCGGGGTCAGGGCCGGGCCGGTGGAGACGCAGTCCGGGGTCGGGGTCGGGGTC